GACTTCTGATCTACACAACTGGAAGGTAGTAATACATTTGTGTTGTTGTAAGCAACCGAATTTGTGGTGATTTATTACAACAGCAATAGGAAATGAATAAAATGCACACAGCTGCCATTCATTCATTTGTTCATTCATTCATCAAATAAATATTTAGTGTCTGTAATGTGCCAAGACTGTGCTAAGTGCTAGGGACATAATGGAGAAAACCAGACCCATGCCCCATTTTTATCAAGTGTAAGTAGAGGGAGTTTATAATTGGTAAGAAGACAGTTTGGAGATTGGAATTAGTGAAAATCGGATGAAAGGGTTGTTAGAATATAGGTTTGTTGATGGAAATGGTAGGGTTGGGAGTAGCAGGCAACAGAGTAGCTCTCCATTACTACATGGTTTTCTCTCTTTAACTTTTTATTCTGAGATAATTTGCTACTAACAGAGGAGTTGCGAAGATAGTCTAGAAAGTTCCTGTGTGCCCTTCACTCAGTTTTCTCTTACGTTAATATCTTAACCAGAGACAGAAATTATTGTTAGTGCAATACTATTAACTCAAGTTAGAACTTATTTGGATTTCCCCAGTTTTTCCACTGATGTCCTTTTTTAAAAATATATATTTTTTGATTTTTTACAGAGAGGAAGGGAGAGGGAAAGAGTTAGAAACATTGATGAGCCGAAACTGGTTTGGCTCAGTGGATAGAGCATTGGCCTGCGGACTGAAAGGTCCCGGGTTCCATTCTGGTCAAGGGCATGTACCTTGGTTGTGGGCACATCCCCAGTAGGGGGTGTGCAAAGGCAGCTGATCGATGATTCTCTCTCATCGATGTTTCTAACTCTCTATCCCTCTCAATAAAATATATTTTTTTTAAAAAGAAACATTGATGAGTGAGGAATATCAATCACTGCCTCCTGCACACCCCACACCAGGTATCGAGCCTACAACCTGGGCATGTGCCCTGACTGGGAAAGAACCTCCTGGTTCATAGGTCAGTGCTCCACCACTGAGCCATGCTGGCTGGACCCACATTGCATTTAGTTATGTCCCCTTAGTCTCTTTCCTTGTGTTCCATGATCTTGAGCTTTTGAAGAGTATTGTTTAGCTATTTTGTAGAATGTCCCTTAATTTGGGTTTGTCTTATGGTTCCTCACGATTAGATGTCAGCTATGAATTATGGCATGGATTCCACAAGAGGGATAATGCCTCTCTCAGTGCATTATAGTAGTGGGTAGATAGTGTCGACTTGGATCACTTGGGTAGGGTAGCATATGATAGATTTTCTGTACTATTAAATGCATATTTTTATATTAATATCTTGGGGTATATACTTTGAAACTTTACAGATATCTGTTTCTCCTCAAACTTTCCCCTGTTATTTTGGCCCTCATTGGCGTATTTCCCTGTAGTGAGATTTACTGTGGTATTAGAACGGTGATTTTCTATTTCCCACATTCCTTCTACATTTATCTTTGGAATTACCTCTGTTTTATGTGGTCTCTTCCTAAATATGAAAGTTATTAAGATGCTTTCCTTTTATCATATACTAGAGGCCCGGTGCACGAAATTCGTGTGGGGAGGGTGTCCCTCAGCCCAGTCTGCATCCTCTTCAGTCTGGGTCCCCTTGAGGGATGTCCAGAATCGGACCTAAATGGCAGTTGGACAGCCCTCTCACAATCCAGGACTGCTGGTTCCAAACTGCTTGCCTGCCTGCCTGCCTGCCTGCCTGATTGCCCCTAACCACTTCTGCCTGCTGGCCCAATTGCCCCTAACTGCCCTCCCCTGCAAGCCTTCCCCCACAACCTCCCTCCCCTGCAGGCCTGGGTCCTCCCCTGAATGCCTGGTTGCCCCCAACTGCCCTCCCCTGCCTGTCCAGTCACCCCTAACTGCCCTCCCCTGTAGGCCTGGTCCCTCCCAACTGCCTTCCCCTGCCGGCCTGATCTCCCACAACTGCCCTCCCCTGCTGGCCGTCTTGTGGTGGCCATCTTGTGTCCACATGGGGATGGCCATCTTTGACCACATGGGGGAGGCCATCTTGTGTGTTGGAGTGATGGTCAATTTGCATATTACCTATTTGTTATATAGGATAGCCAGACTCTATTATATGCTGATTTCTTGATTAATTCTTTGGCGTTACCCTTTACTAACTGCCATTGCCCTTGTGTGTGTTTATTTCATTTGACTGTAGTTCTGGGGTGCTACTTAGTCTCTCCATGGCAAGTGGCTTGTGAGTGAGGTATCTGCAGTCCTTCTGTGAATATTGTTTCTGAGAGGCAGAGTGATCACCTGGAAAGTGCATGGGCTTCAGAACACGGCAGCCCTGGTTCCAACGTTGCCTTTCCCGTTTGGTACCCTGGACAAGCTAAGCTACTTAACATTTTGAAGCCCTAGTTTTTCCCTTAAAAAGAACGAATATTTCTAATATACAAAAATACTAAAGAATAACACAGTGCAGCTTGTGTACTTAATACTCAGCCTGAGAAACAAAATCTTAAGGGTTAGAGATAATGCTTATAAAGCCTGTGATACATGTCTGAGTGGTCATTAAATGACAGCGATAAAATACTGAGCAATGTCATATTTATCCAGGCTAGGCATTGACTGACTGCTTTGTAAAGTGAGTGGTGTGTTTTGAAGCCTTCGTAGTATTCATCCTCATTTGAACAAGTTCTTTTGTAGTACAGCCTTTAGAATATGTTGATTTCTCCCCCCTCTTGCGTTTGCAGAAACGTATCCATGTGCCCTCTGACCTGATTCTGTACTTCATTGTTGGTGTTTGCATTAAGACATAGCTGATAAGGCTAGAGTTTACCTTTTGGAAATGAAATGCTTCTTATCTTGAATAAATACATATGCAGGTTACTCATGTTGGTTTTGTGCCTTGCTTCAGGAAAGGTTTTGTGTACCTTTTAAGCATGCCATATATTATGATAGATTAAGTGTTTAGTTAACATTCATAGAAGGACAGTAATTCTTTTTAAAGTAGTGTTGGAGTAGTTGAAATCTATTCAGTGAATTTGTATTTGACCTCTTATTATATTTATCAGCCATATAAATTAATATCTATAACACTAAAACATTGATACTTTTTTTTTGGGGGGGGGTGAGGGCTGACATTACCTAGAGACAGTAAGATTAAAGGATCATTTTTGTAGACTGTAATTTTCCTAGCTTCTGACTATGTCAACTCCATTATCTTTCAGTGATCTCTCGTTTGCCATTTGTGGGTCATCATTTCTTTCTTGTGTAAGAACTCTTCATTGGCAGTGTGTGAAGGTTACTGATTAATGAGAGAGAGAGAGAGAGAGAGAGAGAGAGAGAGAGAGAGAGAGAGAGAGAGAGAGTTTGAGTTTAGAGGAGAATTATTATAGTAGCTGAAAGCACTCCTCTGGATTTGGGTGTGAATTTGACAGGTTTACTTTCCACTCTGAATTAGAATGGACCTTTGAAGACCTTGGCCATACCTTTTTTAAAGAAGATTTTTAAATTGATTTTTAGAGAGAGAGGAAGGGAGACGGAGAGAGAGAGAAACATCGATGTGAGAGCAGACAATGAACCCACTACCTTCTGCACACCCCCTACTTAGTCTCAAGCCCATAACCCGGTCACATGCCACGACTGGGAATCGAACTGGCAACTTTTCCTTGCACGGCAGGATGCCCAACCAACTGAGCTACACTGGCCAGGGTTTGGCTGTACCTCTTTAGTGGAATTTTACCTTTTGTAATATGTCTGAGACAGCAGTTACAATTTTGTAAAGTTGTTTACCCTGAATGCTGACTCCTTTAAATTCATAGGATCAAAGGATAAAGTGAAGTATGTAGCTTATCTTGGCACATGACTTGTGCTTGCTAATTTCATCAGAGGGCATCAAAATTTGTTCATTATTCTTCAGAGCAGATCTGCTGACCTAACACAATGGAAAGACTTCTAGCTAATTATAGGGACAGTGAGGACTTATTCGTCATGTTAGGTTAGACAGAAAATCATAAACACTTGTTTTTAGACACCTTCTAAGTTGAGCATTTCTTACTTTTCCTTTGAGTTCCTTAACTTTTTAAGTTTTTTTTTTCTTCCAGAAATACAATTGAAATATAATATTGACATATGATAAGCTTAAAGTGTACAGTGTATTGATGTAATATATTTATCTATTGCAGTATGATAGCCACCATAGCATTAGCTAACACCTCCATCATGTCACATAATTATCATTTTATTGTGTTGAGAACAGTGAAGATTTAGTCACTTACTAATTTTATTTTTAAAATGTTTAAGGCGTGAACTGGTTTGGCTCAGTGGATAAAGCGTCAGCCTGCGGACTCGAGGGTCCCAGGTTCGATTCCAGTCAGGCACATGTACCTTGGTTGCAGGCACATCCCCAGTAGGGTGTGTGCAGGGGGTAGCTGATTGATGTTTCTCTCTCATCAATGTTTCTAACTCTCCCCCTCCCTTCCTCTCTGTAAAAAAATTAATAAAATATACTTTTAAAAAATACTTAAGGAGCTTGTACAGTGTTTGTCTATGTCTGTCTAATTTATCTCACTTAGCATGCCTTCAAGATCTATCCATATTGTTGCAAATGGTAGGATTTCCTTCTTTCTTTTCCAGCAACAGAAATTTTATTTATTTTTACAGTTTTATTGAGATATAAATGACATATAACAATGTATAAGTTTAAGGTGTACAACCTAATGACTTGTTATATGTATATATTAAAAAATGATTACCATAAAAAGTTAACTTCCAAGATATGTTTTTCAAGGTATTGGTTTATTATGCAGGTGGGTTTATAACAGTTATTAAATGCAGCAACTGCTGCATTGCTGTATGGGAGGAGTCATAATCACTAACAAGGGATGTCTATCAGTGATTGTATAGAAAAGAATTGTCAGGCAAAAATAAGTACATATATCAATAAGTACAATAAAGTAAAGCACTCATTTGAGTGGTATTAAAAACGTGCATGAGAATTCCCACGCTTTAATTTGGAATTTATTTCTTCATTCAGGATCGGAAATTAACCAAAGCTGAGCAGCAGAGATTTAAGGAAGAAGCAGAGATGTTAAAGGGTCTCCAGCACCCCAATATAGTTCGATTTTATGATTCGTGGGAGTCTACGTTGAAAGGAAAGAAATGCATTGTATTGGTGACTGAACTTATGACATCAGGGACATTAAAGACGTAAGTTGATCCTGATAGTGTTAATGGTCATAGTTTTTGGAAATAATTTTCAGAACCATAAAAGTTGCTTGTAAAATAACAGTAATTGATTAAAGAATTTGTAGCCGAAACTGGTTTGGCTCAGTGGATAGAGCGTCTGCCTATGGACTGAAAGGTCCTGGGTTCGATTCTGGTCAAGGGCATGTACCTTGGTTGCGGGCACATCTCCAGTAGGGGGTGTGCAAGAGGCAGCTGATCGATGATTCTCTCTCACCGATATTTCTAATTCTCTATCCCTCTCTCTTCCTCTCTGTAAAAAAATCAATAATATATTTTAAAAAAAGAATTTGTAGAATCTGAATTTAGAGACTATGTATCAGAGCAGGTTAAAAATTATGATAATGAATTTTGTTAGAAAATACAATGTTGTGAAATTATTTGTGGGGTAGCATAGGATTTTAGAATTAGAAATCATAGAAATAATATAATGTGTAAAAGATACTGAAAAATTGGCCAGGTTCACATATCTAATGAGCTATTTACTATGTGATTATAGTCCATTGCTTTGTTTCTGGCTAGTTTTTCATTTGATGGTTTAATCACTTATTTGTAACTATTAAATGTGGGGTATACTTCCTCTGTTTCCTGGCATCCTTGCTCTAAAATTTTACATAGTTAAAGCCTCTAGTGATCTATATAAACAGTTATTAGGAAGTAGAAGTGGACTTTTCAATATATATAATTGATTTCAGAGATGAGGGGAGAGTGAGAGAGATACAAACATCAATGATGAGAGAGAATCATTGATTGAACCTGGGACTTTCAGTCCACAAGCTGAAACTTTATCCACTGAGCCAAACCAGCTAGGGCGAGACAGACTTTCTTTCTAAAATTGTGCTGCCATTTCACAAAAGGCCACTCTGCTTAGAATGATTCTTTTCTTTTTTTCTTTTTTTTAAATATTTTATTGATTTTTTACAGAGAGGAAGAGAGAGGTATAGAGAGTTACAAACATCGATAAGAGAGAATCATCAATCACCTGCCTCTTGCACACCCCCTACTGGGGATGTGCCCACAACCAAGGTACATGCCCTTGACTGGAATCGAACCCGGGACCTTTCAGTCCGCAGGCCGACGCTCAATCCACTGAGCCAAACTGGTTTCGGCTGATTCTTGTTTTGAATTAAAAATACTAAACTTGGTAGGATTCTTTTCTAAGAATGAGGCCTTAGATTTAGAATTTTCTTGCCATAATAAACAATAAAAAACAACTTGGTGCCCAGCGGCATGGCTCAGTAGTTGAGCGTTGACCTATGAACCAGGAGGTCACGGTTTGATTTCCAGTCAGGGCACATGCCTAGGTTGTGGGCTCGATCCCCATGCAGTAGCCAGCTGTTCAATGATTCTCTCTCATCATTGATGATTCTCTCTCTCCCTATCCTTTCCTCTCTGAAATTAAAAAAAAACAACACACAACTATATATTTTAAATAAATAAATAAAAAACCAACAACTTAGTGATGGTAATAGTAGTATGGCACATATAATTTCTGCTAGCTTAAGTGATTTACCCTAATACTGCTCATATAGTAAGTTAGTTATGTTTATTAACGTGTGGTCTTTTGTTTCTTTATATAGGTACTTAAAGCGATTTAAAGTCATGAAACCAAAGGTCCTAAGGAGCTGGTGCAGGCAAATCTTAAAGGGGTTGCAGTTCTTGCACACTAGGACTCCTCCTATTATCCACCGGGATCTCAAGTGTGACAATATTTTCATCACGGGACCTACTGGATCGGTGAAGATTGGTGATCTAGGCCTGGCTACCTTAATGCGCACATCATTTGCTAAAAGTGTCATTGGTGATTAACATTTTCTAGTTGATTGGTTGGGTAAAAAGAGTTGTTGATTGTATTTGTCTAGAACAGGGAGCAGCAAACTACAGCCCATGGGCCAAATTTGGCGCTGCTGCCTATTTTTATAGATAAAGCTCTATGGAGCACAGCTATACCCACTTGCTTGTGTATTGTCTGCGGCCGCTATTGTACTACAATGGCAGAATTAAGTAGGTGTCACAGAGACCGTATAATGGCAGAGCCTGAAATATTTACCATTTGTGTCTTAATGGAGCAGTTTGCTGCCCTCTGACCTAGTATGTGAATTTGTTTTGAAATATTATATATTGCCTTATTTTTGAGATATCCTACTGTATTTTTTCTTTTGTGAGATATATTTTAAATTATTGAAAGTTTCTAAGGACTTAAGAAAGCTAATTTTCTAATTTAATTATGAAAATTTTCAGTAACTAAAAAGGTTAGAAATGAAAACAAATTTTAGTGATCATGACCTAATCTTGAGCATTACAGATTGTACTTTATCAGTACACAAAATTAATGAAATTCTTTAAGTGCTTTATGTAGATACTAGAGGCCTGGTGCACAAAATTTGTGCACAGAGCGGGGGAGGGGGTGTCCCTCAGCCCAGCCTGCACCCTCTCCAATCTGGGACCCCTTGGGGGATGTCCCACTGCCGGTTTAGGCCCAAAACCAGGGATCCGGCCTAAACTGGCAGTGAGACATCCCTCTCACAATCCTAATCGCTCGCCTGCCTGCCTGGTTGCCCCTAACTGCCCCCTGCCAGCCTGATAGCCCCTCACTGCCACTGTGTGCTGGCCTGGTCACCCCTAACTGCCCCCTGCTGCTGATCAGGTCACCCCCAACTATCCCCGTTCTGCCCTGGTTGCCCGCAACTGCCCCCCTCTGCTGGCCTGGTAGCCCCTAATTGCCTCAACCCTCCCCCCCTACTGCCAGCCTGGTCGCCCCCAACTGCACCACCCCCTCCCCCGCCAGCCTGGTCACCCCTAACTGCCCCCCCCCCCTGCTGGCCTAGTCTCCCCTCACGGCCCCACTCCCCACCGACCTGATCACCCAATGCAGCCTGCTGTTCAGTCATTTGGTCATCCCTCACTAACCCCCCTGCTGGCCTGGTTGCCCCATGCAGCCTACTTGTTCAGTTGTTTAGTCATCCCTCACTAACCCCTCTGCCAGCCTGCTTGTAGGCAGCCATCTTGTGGGGGCACGAGGGTTAATTTGCATATTTTTATAGGATAACAAGTGTTCAACAAATTTTATATTTTTTAATTTTAGGAAGTAGAAATTAACTCAAGTAATTCTTTTTGCAAAGGGAAAGTAATTTGTGTGAACACATTTTTCTTTTTAATAAAAGTGTGGTTGTGGTATTACCTTGTAGGGACTCCTGAGTTTATGGCCCCAGAGATGTATGAAGAGCACTATGATGAATCTGTAGATGTCTATGCTTTTGGAATGTGTATGCTGGAAATGGCTACTTCGGAGTACCCTTATTCTGAGTGCCAAAATGCAGCTCAAATATACCGTAAAGTAACTAGTGTGGGTATCACTTTATTCCTTTTACTTCACAAACTGCCATATTTCATGATGAAGTTGGTTTAAGTAAACTGAGTAAAACCTAATTTTGGTTTAGTTCTGTATAACAGTGCTAAATTAAACACAATTGTAACAACAGAAGCTTTAGATATATGTTGTATATCTATATTCTATTGGGGTCATATAAAATGCTCTGTATTGGTATCATTGGGAAAACGTAGACATATCATCTATATCCATTTGTTTGTAAAGAATTTTTAGACACTTATTAGATGGTTCTTATTTTCCAAACCTAAATAATAAAGATTGGCTAAATAGTTCTGAGGGTCTCTTTCAGTTCTAAAAGCCTGATTAAGAAAGGGCATTCAAAATATAGTTCAACAGATACAGTATTTGATTCTTACTATGCATAAATTTTTAGAAATTGCAAGGAATGCAAAGATGAATAAGAAGTGTCTGCTACCCACAAAGAGCTTATATTTTTAGCAGGACAATAATATAAATTCACAAATAACTATAAAAATAACAGCATGGGAGTATTTATTCTAAGGGACATAAGGAAGGTAGAAGCAAAGTGTTAGAATTGTTCAAAAGAGGTCTACATCATATCCAATTAGTGACTCAGGATAGGCCAGTAGAGTGAGTGTTAGACTGTTTCCAGTAACTAATGCCAATAGGTACTGCTTTTAAATGTATGCTGTATGCCACATGCTTTCATCTTTATATCCCTACAAGATGGTGCTATCCTCAGTTTATAAATGATGAGACCGAGTATCAAGAGATTGTGACTTATCCACATTCACATTGCTACTACTAATGGATTTTTATTCTATTTCATTGATTTTTTTTTTTTTTTTTACAGAGAGGAAGGGAATGGGATAAAGAGTTAGAAACATCCGTGAGAGAGAAATATCTATCAGCTGCCTCCTGCATACCTCCTACTGGGGATGTGCCCCCAACCAAGGTACATACCTTTGATCGGAATCGAACCTGGGACCCTTGAGTCCGCAGGCCAATGCTCTGTCCACTGAGCCAAACCAGTCAGGGCACTACTAATGGATTTTGATCCCAAGTCTGATTTCAGAGGTTTGTGTAGGTAGACAATAAGAAATAATGCCAGCCCTGGCTGGTATAGCTTACTTGGTTTGAATAACACTGCATACACCAAAAGGTGGCAAGTTCCATTCTCAGGCAGGGCACGTACCCAGGTTGCTAGTGCCATCCCCAGCTGTGGTGTGTGTAGGAGGCAACTGATTGATGTTTCTCTCACATCAATGTTTCTCTCTCCCTCTCTCTAAAAAAGTCAGATTAAAAAAAAAAAAAGAAATAGGCCAATGTCCAGAATATGGGATATTCTATAGGAAAAATGACCTAGTTTCTCCAACAAATCATCAATTTGATTGTTTATTGTTTCTAGCCATTCTAGAAGACTTTGAAATAATATTGTTTTGGAATATTTGCAATAAAGCAGCCCTTCTTAGCTCTTTAATAACATTGAATGTTTTTCTGATTCAAAAAATATTTATTATATTTTGCTAATTGGGGTAGTACTATTTCTACATTTTGGGGTCTTGTTTTTTCCCTACTTAATGTTGCTGTGTGAGAATTTCCCATGTTAATAATTACTTTGAGAACAATTTTAATTTCTTTATAATATTGGCACATATATATTACATAATATGCAATTTTGGCTCTATTGTTGATTTAAGTTCTTTACAACTTTCACTGTTATCTGTAGAACTAGGACAAAATCCTTGTCAAAAAAAAGTTGTTAAAGACATGCTGTATGTATATATTATCTCATTTAAAACTTGAATATAGTTTAGGGTAAAAACCATTATTGTAATAAAAGTCATGTTGATTTGGGCTTTCAGTTGCTTCATTTGTAACTAGAAACCATTTTTTCCTCCCAGGGCATAAAACCAGCCAGTTTCAATAAAGTCACTGATCCTGAAGTGAAAGAAATCATCGAAGGTTGTATTCGTCAAAACAAATCTGAAAGGTGGGTACCAATTTAGTGAAATGACAAAACTGATGGATCCATTTTTCTCTTACCTTGCACTTGATCATTTTTTTGACTTTTGCATGGAAGCCAAACCCAAACCATACTGTCTTAGTAAAGTGTATCAGTGTATCTTGTTTGCCATTTTAGACTTTAATATCATCTGCTAAATTTTCTTTGAAGTAACATTTGGGGTGCTCGCACATGCGTGTGTGTGTGTGTGTGTGTGTGTGTGTGTGTGTTGTGACAAGCTTGAGGCATCAGTTTAAGTCAGTGGGTTCTTCCTCCCCCATTAACTTACTTCTGACAGTTGATTAAGTAGAGAACTTCTGTGCGTCACCTTCATGTAAGTACTTAAATGGTTTTTTAATGGTAGTTTTAAAAAAATGTGACCATCAACTCACCAGGTTTTTAAAATTTAATCCCATGTCCTTATAGTATGACTAGAGGCCCAGTGCACGGATTCGTGCACATTGAAAGGAAATTAATTAGAAGAAAAATTTTAATAGTGCTATTCGCCCTTTCTCTATAATGTATCAACCAAATTCATGATCAACAATGACAGATCAAAACACACATGTGCAGTTGGCACCAGCGAGAGCTTTATATGTATTGTGCATGCATGAGTCAACTTAGCCATTTATATACACACATGCTATATGTATAGATGGAATAAACTTGCTTAATTAGACATGCTTTCTGATTTAGCTAAACGTTTTCCAGCCCAGTGAAGCACCCCAACTTCTCTTTCTGATAATTGTCAGCAACACAGCAGGTTATTATTGTATATCACACAGGGAGAACAAAGGGTAAAATATTTAACTGCAGTAGTGTTTGACTGTATTCTGTGCAGTGAGAAAACCTGAAGTCAATTTCAAGGTCCATCATTTCTTACTTCTTTTCAGTTGGGTCAAGTTTCTAAACTTTCTAAATCTCTGTTTTCTGGCTAATGAAAAGAAAATAGGATTCCACTGAGTCTCCTATCTACCTACTCCAGGACTTGTGAGTATCAAATGAGATGAGGCACAGGAAAACGCTTCACAGACATTTGGTTAAAGTGTAAAATGTTTGCACCTGACTATAATGCAAGTCACGTTCCTGGGCTGAAGAAACTGCAAGGAGGCTAGTCAGTAGGGAGAGGAAGCTGGGTATTGCTACCTGACATTATCCCATGCCCACAGCAGCCGTTGCTGGGCTGGGCTGGGCTGGGCTGGGCTGTGGGCTGCAAGCACCATGGGTTCTTGGCAGCGTTTTTGCCATTTGGTGGGCTGTTGCTCTATGGTGGTGGCAGGGCCTCTAGAGGTCCCACTTAGGGGAAGCTGAGTGTTGCTTTGTCGGGCACCAAGTCCACAGTGCCATTTCTTTGTAAATGGCCAGTGCTTCATGACAGCTCTTATGTAGTGTCTGCCCTCTGGTGGTCAGTGCACATCATAGCAACTGATTGGATGGTCAGAGGGGCACTTAGCCTATTATATATTGTATATATAGTAAAGTTGTTAGGGCTGTTTTTGTTCAAGAATTGGTATTCTAGATCATTTCTATCACAGTTTCTGTTTTTCTTGTGGAAAACATCCTTTAGTTTTAGCTTATATTTCCCTTTCATTTGAGCTTTAGACAGTTGCTGACTTAAATTGAAAATTTAGTCATTTGATTTTTACCTCCTTATTGATTATGGTTAATAAAGATAACAGGTCCTGCCCTAGCTGGTGTGGCTCAGTAGGTGAGCATAAACCTATGAACCAGGAGATCATGGTTCAATTCCTGGTCAGGACACATGCCCAGGTTGTGGGCTCAATTCCCAATGGGGCTATGCAGGAAGCAGCCAATCAATGATTTTCCCTCATCATTGATGTTTCTTTCTCTCTCCCTTCCTCTCTGAAATCAATAAAAATATATTTTTTTAAAAAGTGATAGGTTATTTATAGAAATTATTTCCACCAGCATTTGATTGACAATTGCCTACTTTTATTACTTTTCCATCTAAGATTAATGTTGCTTATCTGAGAGTGCATAAAGCCATTAAGGTAAGGCCTGTGTAATTATAGCTTTATTACAGAATAATCTTTGTGTTTGTACCAACAAGCCATATCTAGGTATGTATTTGTTTTCATTATGGTAAAATTTATATAACATAAGGTTTACTATTTTAGTCCTTTTTGTGTGTTATAATTCAGTGGCATTAAGTACATTCACATTGTACAACCATCACCACTATTTCCAGAACTTTTTCAGCAACCCAACAGAAGCTCTGTACCCATTAAACAACTCCTAATTCCTTTTTCCTTCAACCCTTTGTAACCTCTCTTCTACTCTCTATCTCTATGAATTTGCTTATTCTAGTTACCTCATATAAATGAAACCATACAGTATTTCTCTTTTTGTTTCTGGCTTATTTCACTTAGCGTAGTTTTCAAGTTGTAGTATGTATCAGAATTTCCTTTTTAAGGCTGATTGATATTATAACACATGCATATATACACACACATAAACATGCTACATTTTGTTTATTCATGTATCTGCTGATGGACACAGGTTATTTCTACATTTGGTCTGTTATGATTACTTCATGAAAATTGGTATACAAATATTTGCTTGAATCTCTGCTTTCAATTTTTTTCAGTATAAACCTAGGAATGGAATTACTGGATAATATGGTAATATAACATTTAATTTAAAAAATATTTATTGATTTCAGAGAGGAAGAGAGGGATAGAGAGATATAAACATCAATGATGAGAGAGAATTATTGATTGGCTGCCTCCTGCCCGCCCCCTACTTTGGGGGAATAGAGGCCGAAACCCAGCCATGTGCTCTTGGCTGGAATCGAGCCTTTAGTCCACAGGCCGATGTTCTATTCCCTGAGTCAAACCAGCTAGGGCTACATTTATTTATTTATTTATTTATTTATTTATTTATTTTTATATTTTTATTGATTTTTTTTTACAGAGAGGAGGAGAGAGGGATAGAGAGCTAGAAACGTCGATGAGAGAGAAACATCAACCAGCTGCCTTTTGTACACCCCCTACCGGGGATGTGCCCACAACCAATGTACATGCCCTTGACCGGAATCGAACCTGGGACCTTTCAGTCTGCAGACCGACGCTCTACCATTGAGCCAAACCAGCTAGGGCTACATTTAATTTTTTGAAGAACCACCCAACTGTTTTCCACAGTGGCTGCACCATTTTGCATTCCCTACAGCAATGTAGGAAGGTCATAATTTCTCAACATCCTCACCAACCCTTATTTTCTGTTTGTTTGTTTGTATATTTGTTTCTATGATTTTTTATAATAGCCATCCTAGTGGGTGTGAAGTGGTATTTTATTGTGGTTTTTATTTGCATTTTCCTAATGAGTAATGATGCTGAGTATGTTTTCATGTGCTTATTGGTCATTTGCGTATCTTTGGAAAATTATCTATTTAAGTCCTTTGCCCTTTTTAAAATTGAGTTGTCTATTTTTGTTCTTTTTTGAGTTGTAGGAGTTTAGGCTTGCTCTTTTTAAGCAAGGCTAAAAATACTATATTGAAGTATCCATTTTAGTTTGGATTCTGATTATTGTTTGTACAGCATTTTAATTACGATTTATCACGAACAGTGGAATATTCAAAAGGATTCATGGCATATCAGTTTATTGGAAAGAGCACAGGCTTCAGTTTGAGACTAAAATTCAAATCTGGACTCACTTAATCGGTGTGATACTGATTTAACTGTTACTCAAAACAGGCATTGTTGCCGGGACTGATTTGGCTCAGTAGATAGCGCGTCGGCCTGCGGACTGAAGGGTCCCAGGTTCGATTCCGGTCAAGGGCATGTACCTTGGTTGTGGGCACATCCCCATTGGGGGGTATGCAGGAGGCAGCTGGTTGATGTTTCTCTCTCATCGACATTTCTAGCTCTCTGTCCCTCTTAATTCCTCTCTGTGTAAAATCAATAAAATATTTTTTTTAAAAAAAACAAAACAAAACAAAAAACCACAGGCATTGTTTTGATGATTAAAAAGATAATGAATGCATATAAAATACCTAACAGTGATATGTATTTAATGAATGGTATCTTCCGCGATTGCTATAATTATTCTTAATCAAATGGGCAAATTTTCCATTGAAGGCAGAGGTTTTAACTTGGCTGTGCTTTCTTACACACATTTCTCCTTAACCTTAAAACTAATTAGTCAGAGGAAGATTATTATTTTTATATCACTGCCTTAGTTACGTATTTGTTTTGTTTTTTTCTTTTTTCTTTATTGATTAAGGATTATTTGTCTTTTGATCACTAAATATGTAGAGGGTTTAAGTCCTTAATTTACAGGATAACGCTTTGTCAATATGCTTTATCTGTTTTAAATAGCACAGCAGAGGCTTTCTACGTAGACATTATGGAACACATCAATTTTAGTGCTCCCTGGCCTGTAATACAGATAGACTAGATATTACATATCTATTTTGGAAATTGATCAAAGGAAAGGAAATTAACTCCCCAGCTTGTAAAAGAATTTTTAGAACCACTGTACTTTTTTCTTTTTTTTCTTCAAAGATGGTTAATCCCTGATATTAGGCTAGTCTTGTATCCATTGTATGTATACTTTGGCCTCAAACACTAGACATAAATACTTCAAGAAAACCATGGGACTTTGCTGAACTAAATTATAAATTATAAATTTATAAATTAGCTTCGCCTGTGGCATGCTCTAAAGCTTGACATACACTGATTATGGCTAATGAAGCCTATGAGCTCTATTTTTTTTTTTTAATGTTCTTATTGATTTTAGAGAGAGAGAAAGCAAGAGGGAGAGAGAGAGATAGAAACATCGATGATGAGAGAGAATCATTGACTGGCTGCCTCCTGTATGACCCCTACTGGGGATCAAGCCTGCAACCAATGGCCAGGGCTATGAATTCTATTTATAACATTTCAAAGAATTTGAACTTCTCATTTACTTTAGAGTTTACATGTCTAGAAGAGTTTTTCATTTCCTTGGCAGACAATGTGTTGTTTGAGTCTTAAAAAATTTGAGCCAGTAGTTTTATTGCTAGCTTTACCCCGTGGCCGGATAAGTTTCTATTGAATGAGTACAAAAAAACGTTTTACATCAATGTTACAGGTACGCCTTAAAATTAAATACCCATTGCATTTTGAAGTTATTTATTACACGTTCTTATAAGATACTATCTTTTTATTTTTTATTATTTTAAAATATATTTTATTGATTTTTAGAGAGAAAGGGAGAGGGAGAGAGAGAGAGAAACATCAATGATGAGAGAGAATCATTGATTGACTGCTTCCTGCACACCTCCTACCTGGGATCGAGCCTGCAACCCGGGTATGTGCCCTTGGCCGGAATCAAACTTGGTCCTCAGGCTGATGCTCTATCCATTGAGCCAAACCAGCTAGGGCTATCTTTTTAAAGTATGATACTTTATAAAACACCGTCTAATATGAAAACACGAGAATTCGCATGATCCGTCTACAATGTGTTTTAATAACCTAAGCCAGTGGTTTAGGGAAACTACTCAATTCCCGTAACATGAATTGCAGCACTTCTCTAAATCTCTCTCTGTCTCTTTTAATAATTCCTTATTGTTCAAAGTATTACATATGCCCCCTTTTCTGCCATTCACCCCCTCCAGCCCACCTCCTCCTGCCCTAGGCCATCACCGCCCAGTTGTCTGTGTCCTTGGGCCATGCTAAAGGCATCCATGGTCCTTGGCTGATTACCTCCCCCTCACCCTCCCTCCACGATTCAGTCTCCAGCTTTCTTTAAGGCCTACTTCTAGGTATGTAAAACTTCAGTATCTATTAATAGATATGTTGCTAGTAATAATCTTTAATTAAGGCCCCTACGGATGCATGTTAGTTTGAAATTTTTTTGCATCCTTGGTAATAATAAGTTAGAGAAAACCTTTTGTGTTTATGACAAGGCAGATTAATAGTTTAATTAACAGAAAGTTTAATATAGACCGTTACTTTGATACAATCAGTTGGAAAGGTCCTATATGTTGTTTATGATTGGAAGGATTGCTAATGAGCTATGCATTTCGTTCATTAGGTTGTCCATCAAGAACCTACTAAACCACGCATTTTTTGCTGAGGATACAGGACTGAGGGTGGAGTTAGCAGAGGAGGATGATTCCTCAAATTCCTCTCTGGCTTTGCGGCTCTGGGTTGAAGATCCTAAAAAATTGAAAGGCAAGCACAAAGACAATGAAGCTATTGAATTCACTTTCAATTTAGAAAAAGATACCCCTGAGGAAGTAGCCTATGAAATGGTAAGTGAATCCTACTGCTATCCATCCCCCGCCCCTTTAGAAGTATCAGCATTGATTTCCTTTCGCATTACTTTCTTTTTTCATTTTCTCCTTTTCTTTGTTTAAATGGATATTGTACTATGAAATGCATTGCTACAGCAGAGTATATTAAATTTGCCCATACAGCATAAAGACGGATAATACACTACCTTTGTTGAGAAACAGAACGCAATTGGTATGTTAGAAGCCATCTGTGTGCCCTCCAGGTTGCATCTCCCTTGCTCATCACCACCAGCAATATCTCTTCTGACTTTTGTGTTGTTCATTCCTTTGCTTTTCATTGTGGTTTACCTAAGTAACACATGGTTTTGTTTAAAAGACCCGAGTGGCAAGCACACCCCCCGCTGGTTACTGAAGTTACTCCTAGGTGAAGCTGCTCAGGAGAGGAGGAGTGAACACAACCCCTCAGTCATTGTCTGGCTTCAGCTTCTCGTTTACAAGACTTCTGGGAAGTTAAGGGGTGAGGTCACGCGAGATTCCAGGGAACTAAACACGTGGCTCCCCGCAGTCAGTGCATTAGTGGGGCTGTTGTGTGGACCAGATGAGTTGTCTGGGTCCCCAAACAGGGCTGTTGCAGTGTTTGGAGGGAGGGTTTGCAGGAGCTTCATTCAGCAGCACGTGGTCAAGGTTAGTGAAGTACAGATTCTGGGAAGCAGGCTCATCTGGACATTCTGTTCTCAGGTTAAAAAGATGAATGAATCCTAGCCGGTTTCTCAGTGGTTAGAGCATCAGCCCCTTCTGGTCAAGGGCACACACACATACCCCAGTTTCAGGCTTGATCCCTGGCCACAGTCAGGGTGTGTGTTGGAGGCAACCAATCGATTTGTCTTTCTCACATCGATGTTTCTCTCTGTCTCTTCCCCTCCCTTCCATTCTCTATTCTAATCAAAGGAAAAAAATATCCTCTGTTAAGGATTAACTAAAAAAAGAAGAAGAATGGGACAGTGGTGGTGGAGATCTTGGAGACGACAGTTCTGTCTTTCTAGTCACACTTTAATCTGGAGTGACTGCCTTGAACATCTGGTGCGCAGCTCTCATCCTGGCATCTCCCTTCACTGTCCTCATAGACTTCTCTGCCTCTCTCCTGTATTGGACTTCATGTTCCCGAATCACACACCTTTCTCTCTCCCATGGCTTACTCTTTTGCTATGGTTTCATACTTCCTCTGTTAGCGTCTTCAGAAAAGGTACATGGGAGATAAATTCTTTTGTTCCTATCTTCATATTTAACCGATTATTTGGCTGGCTAAGACATTTTAGATTGGCAGTTAAAAAAATTAAGAGTCATCCTAACTGGTTTGGCTCAGTGGATAGAGCATCGGCCTGTGGACTGAAGGGTCCCTAGTTTGATTCTGGTCAAGGGCATGTACGTTGGTTGCGGGCACATCCCCAGCAGAGGGTGTGCAAGAGGCAGCTGATTGATGATTCTCTCAACGATGTTTCTAACTCTCTATCCCTCTCCCTTCCTCTCTGTAAAAAATCAATAAAATATATTTTTTAAAAATTAGAGTCATTGCTTTTCTAGCTTTCCATATTGATATTGAGAAGTGCAAAGTTGTTCTGTTTTCTGGATCTTTTGCATGTGATCCATTTTTCCTCTTTGGAAACTTCTAATATCTTGGCATTCTTCTCAGTATTCTAAAATTTCACAGTTATGTCTTGATTTGGGTCTATTTTCATTTACTGCCTTGGATACTCAGTGGACCCTCTCAATCTGTCAACTCAGAACCTTTATTTATTTTTAAACTTATTTATTGTTAATCCCCACCTGAGGATGTTTTTCCATCAGTTTTTAGAGAGAGTGGAAGGGAGGGGGAGAGACAGAGAAAGAAACACCGATGTGAGAGAGACACATCGATTGATTGCCTCCTGCATGCTCCCTGACCAGGGCTGGGGATCAAGCCTGCAACCGAGGTGTATGCCCTTGACTGGAATCAAACCTGGGACCCTTCAGTCTGAGGTCCTACCCTCTATACACTGAGCCAAACTGGCTAGGGTCAGCTCATACCCTTTAGTTTCTGGAAGGTTTCCTGAAGTATTTTACTGACGAATTCTTCCCCCTTGTTTTCCTCTTTCTGGAACTGTTATTATTTGGACGTCAGACCTCTTGAACTGTTTCTCCAATTTTCTTATCTTTTTTATGTTCTATCTTTTTGTCTTTTTATTTTGCTTTCTGGCAGTTATTATCAACTTTATCTTCTAACCTTTCCATTGAGTTTTTCATTTCTGCTATCATGTTTTAATTTTAAGAGTTCCTTTATACTTTGGTCTGTTTCTTTTTTAGAGTAAAAATCATGTTCTTTGTTGTGTTGATGCAATATTATCGCATCTTTCTGTAACCTTAGTAAATGCAGTGCTTTTGATATTTTTTCTCCCTGCATAATCTCTTGACTCCAATTTGCTGGTGTTTTTTTTTTTTTTTTTTTCCTTTGTTAGTTTTGTGCTCCATCTTCTTGTTAGAGGCTTTTCTCATATTTCTGGTAATTCTTGGCTGGCTGTTCATGATTAATAGTGGGAAAGTGTATGAGTTTTCTGTTGCTGTGTGACAAATGATCACCAACGTCTTAGTGGCTGAAAACAACGCTCATTGATCTCAGTTCTGTAGGTCAGAAGTCCTCGTGGGCTTCACTGGATTCTCTGCGTGGGGTTTCCCAGGCTGAAGTCAAGGCGTTGGCCACCAAGGCGCTTACGTGGAGGCTCTGGACAAGAATCTGCTTCCAGGCTCATCCAGCTTGTTGGCAGAATGTGATGCCGTGCAGCTTTAAGACCAAGGTCCCCATTTCCTCTCTGGCTGTTAGTCAGGGGCCACATTCTGTTCTTACAGTCCCTTCACCTGTCCCCACTTCTCTAAGTTAGCAATGGCATGTTAGATTCTTCTAGTGTCACCCCTTCCTTCATGTCAACTGTGCGTAGCACAGTGACATCTCATACGCTCAGGTTTGAGGATCAGGATGTGACATCTTCCAGGGGCCATCATTTTGCCAACCACAGAGACTGACAAGCTGATCACATCGTACGATTGCTTGTGTCAGACTTATTAACCTTGACCTCTACCACCAGGTATCTGGGTGGGCCATTAATTGGGGAATCTCTGACATCAATATTTGTAGGTTTTTCTTCTTGGATTGGTCAGATTCCCTAGAGAAGAACCTTTCAATGTCCTTCCTAGAAGGTAAGGGTCTGGTTACTGGCATTTTGGTAGCCAAGTGGGGAAGAGGGCTGGAAGTTTCTGCATATGGCGTTCGGCATGCATATAATCACTCAATTTTTTTTTTATAAGCTATATCCTCAACTGTGCCTGGTATTCCATAGTCCAGAGAACTAAACTAGACTCCTTGGGTAGGGGAGAAGCAGTCACTGAAAAGTATGGCATGGAGGGCAGGTACAGGATCTTACATATCTGCTTCTCAAAACCCTTTTCCTTAGTCTTTCTTATGTAGTCATCTCTTTGGATTATATCCAGTTTGGGAAGTACCCTGCACCTTGTGAGTAGTGTTGAGTGTTGAGTGTGAATGGGAATGAGTCTCAGCTTTCTCTAGTTTACCTTTTTGAGGTTTGCTAAGTCAATTATTATCTATTTGTTTTCCATATTCAAAAGACTCCCAACTATTGTTGCGTTTGTCTTTCTCTTATTCTCCCTCTCCTTGTGGGCTTATAACTTAAAAATCCATTTCCTATGGGGTTTGTTTGGGTGTTCTTTTAGCTTTCAAGGGAGTGAACTTAAATATATGAACTGCCGCCCTAACCCGTTTGGCTCAGTGGACTGAAAGGTCCCTAGTTGGATTCTGGTCCAGGACATGTACCTTGGTTGCGGGCACCCCCCCATTTGGAGGTGTGCAAGAGGCAACTGATCTATGTTTCTCTCTCATTGATGTTTCTAACACTCTTTCCCTCTCCCTCTCTGTAAAAAATCAATAAAATATATTTTTAAATCAATAAATATATGGACTCCGTCTCACATTTTAATCATCTTTCAACTATCATGAAATTCCCCCAAGTCTGCAGACTCCCAAGACATACCGTATTTTTCGGACCATAAGACGCACTTTTTCCCCCCCAGAAGTGGGGGGGAAAAGTCCCTGCGTCTTATGGTCCAAATATAGCCTACACATATACTTTAAAAAAAAAAGTTTTTTTACTTGCCCGGCTCTGTGTGGTCTCTGTGTGCTTGCCCGGCTCTAAAATGGTTCTAAATGCTGCTGTTTACTTTACAGGGTTGATTACATGTGTTTATGACTGTAATGTTGGGTTTTAATGCACATAAAATATTTTAGGACACTATTTGTTTCAGAATCTTTTTTTCTTCATTTCCCTTCTCTAAAAACTGGTGTGTCTTATGGTCCGGAGCGTCTTATAGTCCGAAAAATACGGTACTCTAAAATGCAGATAGCAGCCAAAACCGGTTTGGCTCAGTGGATAGAGCGTCAGCCTGCGGACTGAAGGGTCCCGGGTTCGATTCCTGTCAAGGGCATGTACCTTGGTTGCGGGCACATCCCCAGTAGGGGATGTGCAGGAGGCAGCTGATCGGTGTTTCTCTCTCATCTATGTTTCTAACTCTCTATCCCTCTCTCTTCCTCCCTGTAAAAAATCAATAAAATATATTTTAAAATGCAGATAGCAGGACTGAGAATGGCAGGCCATAGCCCCTCCCCAGGTCTTTTCTGCTCCTCAGCCCCGCTCCTCTCAGACAAGCCCTTAACTTCTCCTCACTCCTCTAACACCTAGCGAGCAGTTGTACTTTGCTGTTAGCATACCTCCCCAGGCCTGGAGTGTTGATCTGCAAACGTCATCTACACTCAACAGCCTGCCAAGTTCCTCTTTTGTTTGTTTGTTTTAATCCAGGTCAGAGTTTATCTTCTGTGACACTTTCTCTGCTTCCTCCCCATAGGCAGGTGCTCCTTTAGGGTTTTTACAGCAGCTGTTCCTGCCTCTGATTTCCTTTTAAGTTTGTATCTGTCCCTCAGCACCAGATCGTGTGCTCATGTAGGACAAAGGGCCAACTTAATCACCGCTCTGCCTCTAGAGCCCATTGTAGGCACTTAATGTTGCTGATTGTGCAAACCCTTTTAATGTCACAAAACAGGGCGGTCATAAATGCCCTGTAATAAGACTGCATGTACCGAAACATCAAGTTATTTGCTTGTTTGATTTAAGACCAAAATTCTTTGAACAATGCTTGGTGATAGTATTGTTTTCCTCATGTTGATTAAAGACTCTGACATTTACCTACGTCTAATTAAGAAAGAACATAGAAACTGTTATTTAATAGCATTTGGGACTTGGGGGCACTAAATAACTCCACTGGTTTTTTTTGTGTGTTTTTTTTTAAAGGTTAAAATCTTCAATGTTGGATGTGAGGGCAGATCTTGCCGCAACATCCCGTCACCCCATCATCGATCCCCAGGGTTAAACATTAAAGACACAGTTTGCTGTTTATGTTTTGTTTGTAGGTCAAGTCCGGATTCTTCCATGAAAGTGATTCCAAGGCTGTCGCTAAGTCCATCAGAGACCGGGTGACCCTGATAAAGAAGACGAGAGAGAAGAAGCCAGCCAGCTCTTCAGAAGAACGCAGGGATTCGCAGTGCAAGTCCGTGGGGAGCGCTCTCCCTCCACCCCTGAATCCAACTTTGCCCCCTGCTCCTGCTCCGCCCGCTGCGGCCGAATGTGAAGACACTGAAGCCGATCAACAAGTTCGGCAGCAGCTTCTGCAAAGACAACCACAGCAGCAATGCTCCTCTGTTACAGGTAACGTCCTTATGACTTTTACAAATAAGCAACGCCTGGCTGGTGTGGCTCAGTGGTTTTGGCCTCATCTCATGCATAGAAAGGTTGCTGGTTCGATTCCCAGTCAGGACACAAACCTGGGTTACGGGCTTGATCCCTGGTAGGGGGTGTGCAGGAAGCAGCCGATTGATGTTATGCGCTTACATTGATGTTTCTCTTCCTCTTCCTTAAAAAAAAGTAAAAAAATAAAAGCAAACAAATGTGTAATTATATTCCCTTATCTTTAGATACTACTTTTTTTATTTTTCAAAGTATTGTTATCTATTATTTTATCAGTCCTTTTACAAATTCCCTGAAATACAATAGATAAGCCAGCTAGTTTTATTTGAATCTGTTCTGTTACTGGACTTGCCCAAGGTACTACCCTGTTTCCCCGAAAATAAGACAGTGTCTTATATTAATTTTTGCTCCCAAAGATGCGCTAGGTCTTATTTTCAGGGGATGTCTTATTTTTCCATGAAGAAGAATACAGTACACATTTATTGTTAAATGAAAATAAAGGAAATTTACCTGTATACGGTACGGTAGTACAGTAGTTGTCAACACAAACCAGACAAACTGTGAATCCTACAGTATCAAGAATTTACTCATTTATTCAATGACAATCATGTCATCATCTTTAGGAACATCATCATAACAATCCAATTCCTGAATTTCCTGGTGAATTTCTTGTGACTCCATTTCTTTCAGAATCAGTGGGCCAAATCTCTCATGTTTAGCAATAGCATTCTGAGACAGAGCCTAGGGGGGCCTTATTTTCAGGGGGATGCCTTATATTTCACTCAGAAGGAAACCTGTACGTAGGTCTTATTTTCAGAGGATGTATTATTTTCGGGGAAACATAGTAGTGGCATAAGGATTATAATCTTTCTACTATTTTAGGGGACTAAAATAAGTCCTTTAATATAGAAAACTAGGAATTGAAGAGTATGATTTTTTTCTGTAAGAAGGAATTTTTCTATACTTTAAGACTCGTTATATTTTTACTCAAGTATAAAATTAACACAGTGCCTCTTAATTTTTCCATTGTAATGCGTTCTGTTTTCTAGAAGGACACAGCATTTTCATAGTAATAGCTAATTGTTGTATAATGACAATATTATTCTCTAGCTAAGTTCTAGGAGAATAAAAAAAGAATATGACATTTAGATTTCACTGAAACCCTATTGAAAAGTATAGGCTAGTTAGGGATATGCATGAAATGGCCAGCAAATGGATCTGGTTTTTTATGTGATTATTTGTTTTTAGCTTTTGCTTTACTAAGAAAAAATTTGCCATTCTACTATGTCAGCACAGAGCGTTCACACCGAGGGTTTTTGATTAATTCTGCATTGTGCATATTTTATTTGAAGCTGTCTCAGGTTGTCAGCGTAAAAGACAAAATGAGAGAAACACCATTTCCTATGCCATTTGGACCTGGTGCTTCAAGTTTTCACTTCCACCTGTTGCTTATTTTCTTTGTTCTAGGTGACAGTTTATCCGAGGCTGGAGCTGGATCAGTTCCACACTCAGATGCAAGTCAGCCCAGCAAAGGCTATTCCTCCGACCAGATGATGAGCTCTCAAATGATTTCTAACATCTCACAGGCTGAAATGAATGTTCCAGGGACGATTTACCCACCCCAGCAGCTAGTAGGACATTACCAGCAGATTTCAGGGGTGAGATGAGCTGTTATATTTTTAAATATATAATCAGTATATTTACTGTAAATGGGAGGGATTATCTTTAATCTGTGTGTGTGTGTTTTTTTCTTATTTGACTGTTACAGACGCAGCCACAGCTGACTCAGCCCCAAATTTTGCCCTTGGCTCAAGGTCAGTCCACTGTTTTGCCTGTACATGTCCTTGGACCACCAGTCTCACAACCCCTGGTGTCCCCATTAACTGTCCAGAAGGTCTCCCAGACAAAGGTAAGATACATTTTAGAAGCCCTGTATTCAGTTAAGCATATCTAACACTGCCTAGATTTTTCTGCTAGGCAAAGGCTCTCTTTCATAAACTCACCATCTCTCTATATAAAAGCCTAAATGCAAATTGTCCCTGCGGAAGTTCCACTGGGAGACCAATCACTCGCTATGATATGTGCTGACCACCAGGGGGCGGCGAGAATGAAGGCCCTAATTGGCCCTGATTGCTGACCAGGCCTAGGGACCCTACCTGTGCACTGGGCCTCTCGTGGTTTTTCTAAAAGTCACTGAAAGCCGAAAGTTTCTGCTTTCCTTCACCTATGACATTCTTCTTGAGGATGCACCTAAACTAACATTGTATAACGAGAATCTAGAGACATCGCTCATATAATTGCCAAAGAAACCACCCCGAAGCTTTGTGAAGCCATTCTTCCGCTCAGTATGTGAGTACAGCACAGCTCCCTTCTAGTTCCATTAAAGGCCATCAGCGGCCCATCGGGCTTCACAAAAGACACACTGAGTATGCCAGCCATACCCAGTGGCACATCAGGAGTCTCTAACTCCAGGTTCTTCTGTGCCACAAAATCAGATGATGCATTTGGAGAAGCCTTGTTTCCAAGCCTGTATTCAGCAGCAGCCATTAACTTGACAACCTAAGATTATGGCATCACCACAGAAAAATGTTCATCAGGGCTGTATTCTGCAAGAGTCTGAAGCTCATGCAACTCAGTGGCAGCCAAAGGGTGGTATTGAAAGCGTGATGCAGCCTCTGGAACAGCCATCTTACTCTGTCCAACCCGCTTATCCAGGACCATCGCAGAACTTCCATCCTTCTCCCCCCCCCCCTTTTTTTAAATATATATTTTATTGATTTTGTACAGAGAGGAAGAGAGAGGGTCAGAGAGTTAGAAACATCGATGAGAAAGAATCATCGATCAGCTGCCTCTTGCACACCCCCTACTGGGGATGTGCCCGCAACCAAGGTACAGGCCCCTGACCGGAATCGAACCTGGGACCTTTCAGTCTGCAGGCTGACACTCTATCCACTGAGCCAAACCGGTTTCGGCATTATCCTTCTTCCCTTGAAGACTCCTGGGCGGCTGCTCTTTGGGTTACATCCCCAGGAACAAGCTCATCATAGTCAGCTTCCCCAATCCAGGCTCCGGCACAGCCTGTTGATATACTGCCAGCCAGAGAGCATCCTCTTTACACTGTACAGCCATTGGGATAGCAGCCAGCTCATTCTTTGCAGCCTTCTTATCTATTCTCCCCCACTGGTACAACCCTCTCATTCAGGCCAGGCCAAGAGAAGCCTGCTTCTCCAGTGCAACTTCCAGTTCAGTCACCTTTTCCAGACCAGGGAGCATATAGGATCCAAGCAGCTTAACCCATGCAACCTCTGGAACAGCCCCCTTACCAGGCACCGTCTCTATAGCATGCCCCTTATTCAAGACAAACTTATTATACCGTGCAGACAACTTAACAGGCAACCTTTATAACCCAGCATGTATACACTGTAAACCCTTCTAATAGCAAGAAAACACACATTACAAATTCTGCAGGTCAGATGTTGTACTCGGCACCACCTTATGTAGCACAGACATCTGAACACAGCCTATTTAAGACCGCGTTAAGGTAATTCTTCAGCAAAAGACATTTAACATCAACCTTAGATACACAGGCTTATTCTTTTATATACACTGAGCGGCCAGATTATTATGATCTCTGAACGCATAATAATCTGGCCATTCGGTGTGTGTGTGTGTGTGTGTGTGCGCACGCATATATTACGTCTAGTAATAATGTCGTTTTCTAATACTTTTTTTTTAAATCGAATTTATTTAAACAATACAACAAAATTTAATCAACAATATAGTTGCCGTTGTTTTCTACTACTTGTGCCCAACGCTCAGGAAGCATTTTAATCCCTCTGTTGTAAAATTCTTGTGATTTTGATGCAAAAAATTCGGTCAGTGCATTTTTGAGGCATTCTTCATTATTAAATTTTTTTCCAAGAAGAAAGTTTTGCAAAGAACGAAACAAATGGTAATCGGAAGGGGCAATATCAGGAGAATATGCAGGTTGAGGGAGAACTTCCCATTCCAACTGGCGCAGTTTTTCAGCAGTGATTCTTGCAGTATGCGGTCGTGCGTTATCGTGGTGAAGAATTACGCCCTTCCGATTAATCAGCGCGGGTTCTTTTTCTCTTAAAGCTTGGGCTAACCTTTCCAGTTGGGCACTATACACTGCACTTGTAATGGTTTGGTTAGATGGTAAAAGTTCATAATGAAGAATTCCTTTAAAATTCCACCAAACACACAACATCACTTTTTTCGCATGCAAGTCAGGTTTTGGCGTGGGCTGCGGAGCCTCATTTTTGTCCAACCATTGAGGCCGCCTTTTCAAATTAACATACGGAACCCATTCTTCATCTCCGGTAACAATTTGCTCTAAAAACGGCAAACGGTTTTGACGAGAGAGGAGCGAACTGCAAATTGTGACTCTTTGATTACGGTTGTTGTCGGTCAATTCACGAGGAACCCATTTTCCAAACTTTTGGACTTTGCCAAGTGCACGCAATTGATTGGAAATTGTTTTTTGTGAACAATTTAAAGTTGTCGCAAGCTCTTGTTGGGTAATTTGAGGATTTTGCACCAAAAGAGCTTGAAGAGCTTCTTGATCAAAATTGGACACACGGCCTCGACCACTCTTGTCATCTAACGAAAAATTTCCCTCGCGAAATTTCTCAAACCAACGCTGGCATTTTCTGGTGCTAACTGCATCTTGACCAAGAGCACTACAGATGTTTTTTGCAGCCTCACTTGCTTTTCTTCCTAATTGGAACTCGTAAAGCATGCAGTGCCGAATATGCTCTTCATCCGCCATCTTCTTAGCCCTAGTTTTGCAACAAAAACCAAACCAAACACAAACTTTTTCAAGCAAAACTTGTTAATTGCACTTCACACGTTCTGTAGATACCACGTATTTGAAGGTTATGTCAATACAAGTCAACGCCAAGCAAGATTTTAAACGAATGTTTCAAAACGACATTAATTATTACTAGAACCGATATATATGGGGGAGAGGGGGGCGCGGTCCGGTGCACGAATTCGTGCATGGTGGGGTCCAGCCAGCCTAGCCAAGGAGAAGGGACATGGGTGGTTGGCCAGCCTGCCTGCTGGTCCAACTCCTGGTCAAGGAGACAATATGCATATTAGCCTTTTATTATATAGGATATACACTGAGTGGCCAGATTATTCCGCGTTCAGAGATCATAATATTCTGGCCACTCAGTGTATATACTAGTGACCCGGTGTATGGATTCGTGTACGTTGAAAGGAGATTAATATTTTTTTAAAATATATTTTATTGATTTTCTACAGAGAGGAAGGAAGAGGGACAGAGAGCCAGAAACATTGATGAAAGAGAAACATAGACCAGCTGCCTCCTGCACCCCCCCCCACCGGGGATGTGCCCACAACCAGTGCACATGCCCTTGATCGGAATCGAACCTGGGACCCCCTCAGTTCACAGACCGATGCTCTATCCACTGAGCCAAACCGGTTTTGGCGAAATGAGATTAATTAGAAGGTATTCAGCGGGCTGGGACTGGGCGAGAAGGACAGGACACGCCCTGGAACCAACCTCCTGCAGTCCCTCCCTGGCTGGCTGTATCTGTGGTGGCACCGTGGCTCAAAGGGCATCTGCGGAGTGAGCAGGGTCCCTCCGGCAGGTGGGGTCCCTTGGCCTGACCTGCAGGGATTGCCTGCAGGGATCAGGCTGAAATTGGCTTTCTGACCTCTCCCAAGGGGGCCTGGAGTGTGAGAGGGCACTCTGCAAAGTTGTTGTCATACAGGGTGTGGAATGCAAACGCAAGTGTGTGGTAAACCAGATTCGGGCAGACAATGCCCCAAGTTCAGCCATTACTAGGTATCCCAAGGGCCATTCCAAACACAGTCTAGATTACATGTCCTTGGCAAGAATAGTTGCAACCAGCAGCAATAGGACAACATGTACTACAACCTTTAGAGCAGCCTTAAGTGCTTCCAGCATTAGACAGCAGTCAGACTTTTCCCCTCAGAAACACCTACCACGGCACCAGCCGGCCTGGACTCGGCAGTGGTCTGCTGTCCAGCCACAGTGGCAGCCAGCTTCTGGCCCAGCACCTGTTTCTAGGTCATCAGAACCACAATTGCAACAGCAGACCCTCTATCATAGGGGTGTCGAACTCAATCAGAGAAGGGGCCAAAATCTAAAATCCAGCCTAAATCGCGGGCCGAATGGTTTACTGAACAGTCATAAACTGTCATTGTGATGGAAACGCAGCGGAGTGCAGTGATGACAGCGCAGTGCGGGCCACATTGCAAGGCCTGGCGGGACGGATCTGGCCCGCGGGCCTTGTGTTTGACACATGTGCTCTATCAGACTGCTGGGATAGCCTTTCCAAATCAACCAGCTTCTTCTGTTCATCTATCAACACCTGGGCTCCCAGTACAGACTCCCACTGCCTTTCAGATCATTTTCCTGAACAGACACAGCAGCATTTGCAAAGCCAAGAATTTCCCAAGGTAAATGCTCCCGGGAGAAGATAGTGGATGATTGTGATTTCCCTGTAATGTTCCAGGGTCAGAGAGAGAGCGAGCTGTGGTAGAAATGGCACTGAACTGGGAGTCCCAGTCCCTGCTTTGGCTCTTTTCCTTACTGAGTGGCCTCGAACCAAGTCTCTCTGGGTTTTCTTATCTGTCAAATGATGGGATGAGACCCGATGATGATAACAACAATTACTTGAGCATGAGCTTGGGACATGTCAGTTAATAAAAAACAAAAGTGCGTTCTGTCACTGAGTTCTGTTGCCTAATCGAAGGAAGACTCAATTGCCATCATAAAAAGTAAATTATGTAATGCAATACAAAGAGATCGGGGGAAATTGAGAGCAGGGTAAGGAGGAAAGTGGGTTGCAGTTGTCAGTAAGGTGGCGATCAGGTTAGGACTCATTGAGAAGG